GAGAGAGAGAGAGAGAGAGAGAGAGAGAGAGAGAGAGAGAGAGAGAGAGAAAGAAGAGGGGGGGGGACGGGGAGAAGGGAAAGGGAAGGGGATTTGGATCACTGAGAGAGAGGTAGGGAATCATGCCGATGATGATGATGATCATTATGATAACGATGATGATGACGATGATGATGCTGGTGATGATGATGATGAATGAGGGATGATGATTGGCTGATGAAGAAGATGACGGTATAGGGAAGGAAAAGGGTAAGAGGATGGATGGTGGTAGGTGATTTTGAGGAAGAAGAGAGGTGGGGGTGGCGGAAGGGAAAGGTATGCATGTCTGTGATGGCGGCGTGAGACTATGTTGAGATTATACGAAGGGGACAAATTACACAGATACAGTCCAGATGGGATTATTTAGACCTTGGAGATGACGTGGACAATTTGAAAAAGCAGACAGTTGTGTACTTGGGTTTAGCAGGCAGGTATGGTAACGACAAGTGAAAAAAGAAGAAAGAAAAAAGAAGAAAGAAAAAAGAAGAAAGAAAAAAGAAGAAAGAAAAAAGAAGAAAGAAAAAAGAAGAAAGAAAACGACGAGTACGAGGAGGAGGAGGGCATGTCAAGAGGGTGGGCGATACACACATCGAGGAGGAGGTGGAGGAGGGAAGAGGAGAGAGAAAGAAGGTGGTTAGGAGACAAAAAAGGCGGGAATGAAGAAGAGAGGAACGAAGGAGGAATGATCCTGCCTGACATTCTTTGGAGATCCTCCCGCCGTTTTTTTTTTTTTTTTTTTTTTTTTGGGTCGTCCGTTTTTTTTTTCCCGGTCTTTCATCCCTACGAATCCCCCCTCTCCTTACATTTTACTCGAATTCCATCCACCTTCGGCTTGCTAGGAAGATACCTAACCCAATATGCCAAGGGCACGCTAGGACTCTTTTTTCCCCCCAAGCTCTGGACGTGATTCCCGTCAGATTCACTCAGTTGCGGCCGTAATTGTGGTCAAATACATTTAGAAAAGTGCCTGCCAGTGTGATTATGCCCTAAGTGGATTGGAGTGATCGTTTGATATCTGATCCGCGGTCCATCGGACCTCACGATACTACMCCCCCCCCCCCTCCCAAACAAAAAAAAAAGGAAAAAAGAAGAAGGAAAAAGGAGAAAAAATCCCCTTGATGACTATAGTTGTACTTACACCCCACCCAACCCAGGACCCAATCGTCGGCGATCCACTGTACCCAACCACATTTCCCAACCATTCATCATCATCAATGAAGCGTTATCAACGCGTTGCAGCTGGGCGATGAAAAGACTCGGGGAAAAGAGGGCAAAACAGGAAAAGAAAAAGCCGCCTAGAGATTGGGAGGGGGACGGGGGACGCAAAAAGAAAAAGGAAAAAAAAAAAAAAAGCAAGAAAATGCAAAAGAAAGCATAAAGAAAAGAAAAGAAAAGAAAAGCGAAGGAAAAAAAGAACATTTTGCATTTTTGAAAGACCTTGCCCAGGACATCAAGAGGACAGGCGTTCTTCTTGACGTGGGGGAAAAGAAATCACAATTTAAATTATTCAACTAGAAAAAAAAGAAAGGGAAAACCCGAAGCCGATGGACACCAAAGGGGGGGGGGAGGGGGTGGGCGACATGGTTTGAACAGGGAAAAAAAAAACTTTTTTTTTTTTGTTTTTTTTGTTTTTTTTTGTTTTTTGGTCCGAATGTGTAGGACTTGAATACATAGGATTTTTGCCGCTTTTGTATAAAACTTTGTTCTCTCTTTTTAATCCCTCTTGTTGTCTTCCCCCCCCACTCTTTTGGAAAATAATCGCCACGTGTTGTTGGGAAAAAAAAGCTCTTACCTAGCGAGTTTGCACTGCACATGGCTGTAGTGGTTAAGAGACTCGGCTCTTGAGGCTGAGGGCGCCGGTTCGAATCCATGCTTGCACGGAGGAGGTCCTATGGCTGATAATGTACGCTGTACTTCAACCGGGTAACCAGCCCGGAAATTATACCTGGATGTGGTGGCCCGTGGATAAAACCGTTGGATAAGCAGTTGTGCAGGATGAGAGTGGAGTGTGCGACTACTGCCTGTGTGGCGGATGCCTCGTGTGGTGTTGTGTGTGTGTGTGTGTGAGTTGAAGGACACTACAGCCATGCAGGGGKGGGGTGAATATCACGACCGGCATGGATTCACTTTTGTACACCGTGTCATGGCTGTAGTGGTTAAGAGACTCGGCTGTTGAGGCTGAGGGTGCCGGTTCGAATCCGTGCTTGCACGGAGGAGGTCCTATGGCTGATAATGTACGCTATGTCGTATGAAGGATTGGCAATGTATATTCAGTTGAGTCAGTTGACGATATATATAAGGGAAAATTTTCGAAATGCCCCTGAAGTTTGCGTTTATTTGCGATTCGCCCTCCGACGGCCGACTTACCCGGATTTGCCCCTGGGGCCTCTGAACTTTCGAAAAGGGCCCTGTCAGTGAGGGGCACAACTTTTCGGAATGCCCCTGGTACCCTGATTTGCCCCTGGGGCCTCTGAACTTTCGAAAAGGCCCCTGTCAGTGAGGGGCACAACTTTTCGGAATGCCCCTACCGGTAGGCCGGTCCCTTTTCCCGTGGTGGCTGTCCATTTTGCCCTTCTGCATTGGATGCATCTTCCTGGGATGCCCTCCAGCGGGGAGGTGCTCAGAATTCGAATACAAAGTCCTTGATTTTCCGGGCCTCCGCGCAAAAAAACAGGGCTCCACTCCACGTGTCCACTGCTTCAATTCACCACGGAGTTCATTCTTCTGGTACTGCGACCTGCCACGGCCTTCACCGAAGGTGAGTGTTCCTCCCCTTCTTCCATGCCTCTCTCTCTCTCTCTCTC